ATATAAGGCTAATTTCGGCTGCCTAAATGCCGTAATTACTTTTTTATTAAGATGGGGAATTTAGGCACCCATGTATATCCGCACCTCTAATTACAATTGAAATATTGTTTAATAAAAGGATGACTGAAATAACTGTCTGTTGTTCGATATCAGACTTTCTTAACAGTGAAATGGCAGGTATTTAATATAACTTTTTTCTTTATTGATGATAATTTGAATATTAAATAAATAATCTAAAGGGATATCCGGGATTTTTTACTCTAAAAATAGCAAATAAAAGGCTAAATGTAGTAAATAGGGTTCCCATCCAAATCTATAAAATTAAGGACCATATACAAAACATTAAACGAGATTTATTCGAAAAAAATGATCTAAAAACAGGCATTAGATGTACTTACGTATATTCCCAATCGTTGTTTGTTCTTATCTTCAATCTTTGGTATGTTCTGAATTAATGCTATTACTGAAAATGAGCAAACTCCATCTACGTAAATTACAAAATTGTTAACTAAAGCCTCTTATTCGTAACAGATTTACAAAAAATGAGGCTAACATACACATTATAGCTATAAGCTGACTTTCAATACCAAATTGGCTGGAGAAGCCATGTGCGATGTAACTAACTTGCGAGTTTTGATAATACACGTATGGAGGACCACGAATATGGTTCCACATGTGCCCGGAAATCATCATAAGTATTACTACCTGCAAAAAACATATTAAATATTCGTATTGAGATTAAAAACATTCATACAAGAACATCTATGTAACTATGGTGTAGTCGATGATCATATTCATATAATATTGAGATATATATTAAAAAAAATTCAAATCGCTTAGACTTTCATGCAAGTGGCCTTTAAAACAATACCACGCTACTCTATTAAATTAGGGCAGTGACATATATTACGTAATATCCTTTTATCAAGAGGGTCACCCCCACATCATATATGATCATATATGAAATATATATATGATATATTATCTCCAGTTACCCCCTCCCCCAAGATATTACGTAATATCTGTCACTGCCCTTATCAGTTAGCTTTTTTTGAAAAAAAAAAATATATATATAGAAAGTTTTAGCAATTTGAACAATTGAATATGACACATGATTTTAGACTATTAGCACCATAGGAAAATTCATAATAAAATAGAAAACCATTATGTATTAATGGTCCGAAGGGCTATATTTTAATTGGCGATTATCGTTACGGACACATTATGTGCTTATGGACACAACGATGAGCGGTATTGTTATAATACCCGAAGATTGACCCTAATTCTGGTCAATGTGTGTCATAAATCATGTGAATGCTGCTTCCATTGCTTGTTCTCTTATCAATGATCAACCAATCAAAAATTAAGAAAATGTTTACAGTGTACTACCGAATCTTACCATATAAACCACCCTGGGTCAATTACAGTATTCAATAGTAAAATAAATTATCAGTAAAAAAATCGCGTGGAATATAACTATCGTGAGGATGGTTTACATGGTACTACATGGTATTGCACCGTCTGCTATGTCCTTCGGACAATACTTGCGCAACATCTCATTGTTTTGGAACTTATTTGCGAAAAATCTTAGACACTTGCCAATGATATCGCAGCCCAGGTGTTCTTGTTTCGTACAACTGTCTCTACAAGAGGATACATCAGCTTTATAAAAGCAAGCGCCCCAAGTATTAAAAATACCGTCACAATTATAGCAAAATAATTCAGAGGTCGGTTGACAGGTACTTGAGTACCCAAAATGCCCGATAGATAAGACGCGAATGCTTCGGCA